GGAAGTCAAGTAGAGCCTCCTTTACTTTGGCTAAGTAGGCGATCATAGTCGGTTCGCGGGCTTCGTATTCGCTTGTAACCTGATTGACAACGAGTTGGGAATCGCTGCAGATGACGATGTGTTTTGCTCTTACCTCTTGGGCCAGGGCTAGCCCGGCTATCAATGCCTCATACTCCACCTCATTGTTGGATGTCGTGAACTTGAAACGTAGTGCGTACTCCAGTTTTGTGCCACTCGGACCGTGAAGAACTACTCCGGCTCCGCTGCCCTATTGATTTAAGGAGCCATCTACGTGAATGATCCAGGGCTCTTCATCCCAGTTCGCGCTTGGCCTAACTAGGAGAGATACCAAACTAGGTGCGACCTCACGGTGCTCGGACTCAACCGGCCTGGGAGCACCGAGCTCACCCGGACTGGGGGCTTCGTGCTCAACCGGGCTAGGGGCTTCAGAGCTGAATGTGCATTCTGCAACAAAATCCGCCAAGGCTTGGGCCTTGATAGCAGTTCGCGACTTGAACTGGGTCGTACTCACTGAGCTCGATGGCCCACTTCGTCAATCGACTAGAGACCTCGGGCCTGAGTAACACTTGCCTCAGGGGTTTGTCGGTGAGGACGATAATGGTATGGGCGGAGCTTGCAGTTTGCAATGAAATGCGTAGGCTAGTTTTTCTATCTCTAGGTATCTCGTCTCTGCTCCCTGCAATACTTTACTAAGATAGTAGATGGGTTGCTGGACCCGATCTACTACCTTTATTAGTACCGAGCTGACCACTTCGTCACTTGTTGAGAGATACAACTTTAGGACATCGCCCTCTTCGGGCCGGGTCAAAACTAGGATACCGGCGAGGTACCTTTTGAGCTCGTCAAATGCGAGCTGACAACTTGGGTTCCATTCGAACCCTTTGCTTTTCATTGCCTTAAAGAAAGGCAGGCAACGGTCTGCCGATTTGGACATAAAACGACTCAGAGCGGTTATTCTGCCGTTCAACCTCTGAATCTCTTTTACTTTTTGGGGGTGGTCTCATATCTAGGATGGCCTTTATTTTATCCAGATTGGCCTCAATACCGCGCCGGTTGATGATGTATCCTAGGAATTTACCCGAGGTGACACCGAAGACACACTTGTTTGGGTTTAGCTTCATGCTAAATTGGCACATAATTTGAAAGACAAAGTGCAAATCTTGTATTAATTCATGCAAAAATTGTGTCTTGACGACCATGTCATCTACATAACATTCTATCTTAGTGCCAATTAAGGATTGAAATAGCTTATTCACAAGCCTTTGAAAGGTTGCCCTAGCGTTTTTCAGTCCGAAGGGCATAACCTTGTAGTAGTACAGGCCGAACTCGGTTATGAAGGCTGTCTTTTCATCGTCGACTGGGTCCATCCTGATTTGGTTGTAGCCCGAGTAGGCATCTAGGAAGCTTAGCAACTCGTGCCCCGATGTTGCGTCCACTAGGTGGTCGATCCTGGGGAGGGGGAAGCAATCTTTCGAGTAAACTCGGTTCAGGTCAGTGTAGTCGACGCACATGCGCCACTTGCTATTAGCCTTTTTCACTAGAACGGGGTTGGCTACCTAGCTCGGGTAATGAACTTCCCTTATGAAGTCTGCTGCGAGGAGCTTCCCGACCTCCTCGTCGACCGCCCTCCATCGTTCTGGGGCTAGGTTGTGTTTCTTCTGTCTAATGGGCCTAACTACAGGGTCAGTATTGAGTTTGTGAGTTATGAGGTTAGGGTCTATGCTGGGCATTTCTGTCGTAGACCAAGCGAAAACATCTAAGTTACTGAGTAAGAAGCATACCAGATCGGATCGCAAGGGCTCCTCCAAGGAAGCGCCGACCTAAAGTGTTCGGGCCGGGTCCTCTGCCGAGACAGGGATGGGAACGGTCTCCTCCGTGGGCACAACTCGCTCCTCGTTCTGTTCCATGGCCCGCTCTAGCTCGAGGTCGTTGGCCACCTTAGCCTTTCCCTTGAGGGCGGCGATGTAGCACTTGCGGGACTCAAGCTGGTCGCCCTGCACTACCCCAATGTCGAAGTCCGTGGGGAACTTCATGGCTAAATAGTAAGTGGACACCACAACCCTTAAAGCGTGGGTGATTGGTCGACCTACTATGGCATTGTATAGGGAGGGGGTCGCAACCACCAAGAAGTCGTGCTTGAGTCTTACCGTGCTAGGCCACGTGTCGACTTCCACAAGTACTGTAACCTTTCCTAGGGTCCTGACTTCTTCTCCGCTGAAGCCGACTAGTGGGGTGTTTGCGGGCTTTAATTCACTCTCTTGGAATTGGAGTTTGTTGAAAGCCGCTTTGAAAAGGACGTCTGCCGAACTACCGGAGTCGACAAGTATGCGCTGGACTTCATAATCATTGATTTTTACCTTTATGACGAGCGCGTTGTCGTGGCGGTAGTGAACCCTGCGCGCGTCGTCCTCGGTGAAGAATATGGGATCTTCTGTCCTCGATCGCTTTGGGGGATTCTGTTGGCGGCCTCACGGGTTGATGCCT